TTTAGCTACGAGTCGCCTCCGTTTCCGGTATTATCATTAATTTATTCTCGGTGATAAAATATAAGAACGGCGATAAACCGAATTTCTGGTTGTTGTTGTTGTTTCCTGTTTCGGTGGCATTACTCATTAGTATTCAGTTCAGTTATGACGCGTGGACAACGAAACGTTATCCGACCACATATTATCTTCGTTTGACTAAACCCATACCGATGACGCTACCTACTGTTTTATATACATTTATACGATTATTGTATAAGATACTGCAAATCTTAATTGTGTATATATTAAATACTCTTACTGAAACGGTACTGACTGACATGTGTGGTATAACGTTATACCGAGGATTGTGCACGTCTGTATGCGTGTGTGTTGAGCGTTTCATTATTATATTTTATACTTGTACTTACACCGACTTTTTACACGCGACCCGACGGCTGTATAGTATTGCGTGGTCACGGTCGAGTTGTAACGGGCGACCGCGGTTGCCGGAGAGAACACATCAACCGGTTTTCTTGGGGCGTCGTCGTCTCGGTGTGCAGAAAAAAAAAAAAAATGTTCTTAGTCGTTTCCGTTTGCACGCCAAAGCCGAAACCCATTTGGTGTTTTACCGCGCATTTGTTGTGTTATTAAACGTTAGATTATTACAAGATGTATACATAAAAAACCGAGAAGATTCTTGTGAAAACCCGTTTTAAAATTACTACTTATCACATTTATGTTATATAATATGTAGGTACATACATTCATGAACGGCGAAATAATATTTGTTTTTAAAATGTTACCAAAAAGGTTTTTCTAAATTATGTTTTCTACAATGATTGAAAAATATTATTATAAAAAAATAAGCAAAATTATGTTTACAATATATCGTTAAAACAAAAAAAAATATTATCATTATATTTAAAATATAAATAAAATATTGGAAATATTTTCATAACACATAAACCACATTTTAAAAATAATATTTGTGAAACATCTTCATCTTCTAAACCAAAACATGATTTTTAAATATTTAAGAAATACATGAACAAACTGTTGAAAACTTAATATTTTCAGAAGTCACGCCACTTTTCCGGTACATTAAATAAGACTTTGGATAGTTTAAGGTAATAGGTTTTGGAGGGTATACGACAACTTTTTTTTGGGGATTTCATGCAAGTGATTTAACAATAACAACAAACATATAACACGACAATATAGTTTATTTAAAACAAATGGAAATGTATATTAAAGGAAACAGCGGTGTGTTGTGTGCTCTATGTAAATATTTTTTGTACTCGAACACGGGGCCGGAGGGTTGCATAAAATATATATAGCTAACGATTAGTGCTAGAGGCAAGCATCCCCGGGGAAACATACAAATTTAAACGACGGCTCACTCGAGAGTTCATGATTGCGTTTTCCTTTTAGTAACGCACGCGGGCAACTTGATGCCGAGTATGTTTGAGTTGAATATTGCAAATTGCGTTGTGGACAAATCATAAGGAAAGACAAATTGTATTACAACAAGCAGTACTTTGTAAAACAAAAAGAAGATTGAAGATTATCGAGAGCCGAGCTAGTTTTGAGGTGTAAAATGTATAAACGCAAAATATAGAACAAATATAGCTAGAAATGATAAAGTTAATAATTAAAGTGCAATACGATAAAAAAAAAATCAACATACGATCATCGTGTACCTACGATATGATACGTCTTGACAACAATGGGATTTCTATAGTATGCATGTTCATTATTACACTGAATAAAATAATTACTATGCAAATTAATAAGTAATTATCCCCTCTCCGGGTTCTTTTGTTTTTAATTTAGGTCATTTAACTCCCAAGTTGCTTTCGGATTTAACAGTTCATACGTTCATGCATTTAAATTTAACGTTACGCATAGTATCTACCCATGTCTTACACATCACTAAAGCGATTAAAATCATGGACGTTGTTATTGAACTAAGCTTAGTTACCAATATATTGTTTCGCTACGAGCAGTGATGGTTCATACGTACAGCAAAATTAAGAGAACACACTATTCTTATTCAACAAGACGTTTTACTATATATAAGTATGATATTTTATTGAACAAAATGCATTTGAAGTAAGATTTTAAAAAATTACTACAAAAACAATTCGTTTTATAATTGAAAATAATTCATATTTTTTTAATAACATAATATGGACTAATAAATCAAGTATTTGGGTATACAATAGTTTTGCTAATTAATTTAAAGATAAAAAGTATTTTACTTGACGTACCGTTCGTAGCTACCATACTGAAAAATTATCACTCGCCGTCTACCGATGAAAATAATTTTTTTCGGTATCAATTTAATATTTTTTGGTGATTTATTGTATTTATTGATTTATTTAATGTACACACGGAAATTATTGCAAGTATCATTAAATTATAAGTACATTATAAGCTGTAAATTTGCCGTTAATCGCATTACAGTATGTAACAAAGAAACATTAGAATTTGGTTTCTCATACCGGTTGACGCGACGAGACGGAATTGATAAAATAGTTTTCTGTTGTATGCAAAGTTTTCGATATATCATTGAAAAACATACATAATCACAAAAGTTTGTCATGTCAGCTGGTACGCTAGGTTGCGCGCGGGCTGTAGGACAATGACATGTCTATAGTTAATAAATCATCTAAATTCTATAACATACGAGTATTATATTTTCTCAGAACGTTAAATATATGTATATATATATTTTTTTTTTTTTTAAGAAAACCTTCACACTAAAAAGAAAACTATTCGAATAAAAGAACTATAACAAAATGGAGATAATAACATTTAAAAACGTCTACGTTGAAAATTTGACTAAAACTGTATATTGTGCTCTTTCCGGTAACGAGGAAGAAGGTAAATAAAATTTTTCTGTGTTAAAGGGTATCGACCAAATCCCAAAACTAGATGATAACCCGTGTTCTATGAAACGCTATAAAATTATAAAAATTCAAACATAAACGTGCGCACAAAACCACGCCGCGCCGTCCGTAGTCCGTACAGTGACCGAATAGTTATTATACGACCCATTACATAACAAGGTAATTAATACCGAAATCATGAATAATTCTCAACTGTCTACACAGTACACGTCGCAAGCTGTTGGTGGAAGTTATCAATTGGAAGAGCAAGAATACATTGTTTACAAAAAGAGCATTGTACCCGATTATCATCATTAGCGAAGGCTTTTTCGACAAATCGTTTATTATATATAATATTATACCTTCAAAGGTTTGCACAGTAGTTTTTGTATTATTTTGTCAATAAAATACAAAATATTAATAACGAACAGAAGTCAAAACTCTAGTTTATAACTTCCGGCACAGACGATGCAATCGTTGCATTGTAATGAACGACTTTGAAGAACGCCGCTCGGATTATGCCAAAAGGCATAATCGTAAAAAATCGTAATATAGCCTATTAATAGTATTTCAGGCATATTTTATGTTATGAGAAAATTGCACGTTGCACGTACCTATGCGAACAACATTCGCCAAAGCCACGTGTTATCTATATTAATAATAATCGGCTATTGCTTCATTATACGCCACAATATAACAGGTTTGTAAAGATGTGTTTCATTTCACACGTCCTTAACGGCGCTACTAAATCGTATGAAATGGACTTATTTCAACGACCTAATGAGTCAGTCCTGCGCAGCTAGTGTAACACGAACCACGTAAGCAGCTATGTTGAATATATGGTAGGCACAAAAAAACATTATAATAATGTATTATGTAGAAATTATGCACCTTGGCTCGTATAAGGGCCAATTTCAGACCTAGCATTAATGATAATCGTTATTACATTAAAATTATATTGTCGATTAAACTCCAAAATCGTTTTAATTTCATAGTGAATTATGAATTTTCTAAAAATAAAATATTAATAATAAGTGCTAAAGGTAATTTTTTTATTGAAAAATTTGGAGTTTTTATTTGATTTTATGACGAGGTCAAATGTACAACTATTGTGCACATTAAAATAGTTTTTTAGACGAAATTGGAATTGGTCCTATGCCTCTTCTATTAGACCCAAGGTTAGGATATAACTTTAGTCACGTTTTGTTACACTCAATTTTTTTGGTACGGATGCAAATACATACTTACAACAAAACATAGAAAACATTTCTTTTTTTTTATATAGTAAAATTAAGTTACAATCGTATTGTTTTAATATGATTGTAGAATTGTTATCTTCTCTCGTATTTAAAATAGATTTAGTTACCGACTCTGGTCATTATCATAATATTGCATAGGTTATACTGTTGTAAAATATAACATTATGTATTGAATAATTGCTGTGTAATTTTATCGTATACATTTAAAGTCAATAACAAAAGAAAAAAATCTCGCATCTTTTACCTATTTATTTCAAGTAAATTAAGTGAAAATAAAAAAAAACACGATTTTATATAAACGTTTGGATTTAACGTTATTTTTACAGACAATTACGCATAGGGTATACCAATAATATAAGAACGGCTATTGGCTACTGTCTAAACGCTATAATTAAAAATGTCAATTGTTAATAATTAAATTGTTGTCTTTTTTTTTTTATGTCCAAGCCATTAAACATTACGACGCGCGGTATGTACGACAGGTATATTATTGTATTACTTGTATGTATGTATGTATACACACACTAACGAAACAAGCGCGTTGGTAACGTGAACCCTTTTGTGGGGGTTAAGGACACTTACAAACGAGCGAAACAATATACTTACATACATATAATACGTATATATATATATTTGGTATTATAAATTATTATTATTAGTTAGTACGTAGTTGCCTATATAATATATAACACAGAACACTGAACCAGCAGGATATATTATACATACCACATAAAAAAAAACCCTCCGATACTGTTATTATATTATATAATATTATGATGTTATTAAATCATCGGTGATCCTACATTATCATGTGATAGTCTACTATAAATGTAAATGAGAAACATAATTACATTTAAGTCGATGTACTTACTGAACGCAATTGAAAGAGACCGCGTGGTGACGTGTGAAGAATGGATTCGATGATTTCCGTCGTCGATTTTTACGGCCATTTCGAACAATCGTGTTTGAATTTTGTATCAGCTGTTAAAAAAACAAAACAAAAACGAATTAAATAATATCATACAATTTAAAGGGACATACGATCGACTTAATCGATTTTATTGTACTCAGTACAAAATTGTTGACTCAGTTTTTGCTAAGACGTCGATAAGCGATTGCCAATGATTAATTACGTGTAAGTATCTATTTACAGTCGTTTTAAAATGTAAAAATAAAAACTACACAATACTATCGGCGGCAAATAATAATAATAATAGTTATTAATCTATAATATGCGCGCTGAAAGTTTAATAATAAATAATAATTGAAGGTTGAACCAGGCCACGAACACTGATAATAACTAACACGGGGAAGATGCTTATCACACAAAAAAAGCGGCGGCCATCTTCTTAAAGCTACACCACTATAATGTTATATCTAAACATTATTATTTTTAGTTATGTATGGATATAACACAAAATACTAAATAGGTCTTTACAAAACGGTCGTCACATTTTTATTTCCATTGATTGTGACCCTTTTGCTTGTATCTATTCTATGGTTAAACATCCATATAACGTGCTAAGAACCAATTTGTAAATTTTACAGTAAGTATCAATGAAAAACAACATTTTTACTAATGGTTTGATAGAGTTCCATGTTCAATGCACGATGATTATGTGCGATAAGGAAATCGTTATGACTCTAAAAATAGGTTTATTTACGATATTCCGCAAACTGGTCAAAAGCAGTTATACGGATAGAACCTTCATTGTTTCTATGAGCTAACGCCGTGACTTTGAAACGTGGAAGAGTATTACAGCATTCGCGTGACCGAGGGAATAAATAAGAAAAAACTAAAATCGAATATATTATTTAAACTAGAGATTCTGTAGTAGATATGCATAATATTTTTATCCATCTGACAAAAGATGCGGTATTTCGAGGAAACACGTTATGAACAATTGCCCACGATGATTCCGAATTTTTGTCTTTTACCACATCGATTTCGATTCGGTACCTAAATCGCGTTACGATTTCATATCATATCTTTTGTTCATTAAAACCGTTTATAATATGTCACAATTCAGACATTTATTTTAATAATAATAGGTACGCTATACGGACGGAGACTTTTTTTTTAGACGGGATTACGGGAACGGTAGAAAGTCGACGACTTTGAGGCACCGTAATATATATATACCATAGGTCGTAACGTGAAACGAATACTAAACAGAGACCGAGCAAAGGGGTTTCGAACACGTCTAGCGGTACTGTAAACTCGAATAACGCTCTTAAAATTACTCGGTTTTCTTTAACACCCTTATTTTCTAAGCGTTTATCTTATAGTCGATCCGGAGTTTTTTACTACGAGATACGGTTTTTTTTTCTTAAAAGCCACCGACCTCGCCCGTGTGTAACTAACGATGTTCGTAGCAGCATATTTTGTGGGTATACACGAGACCGGCCCAGGAGGTACTACCGAGTCATCCCTGCGCCTGTACACGGCTCGAAGTCAACATGTGTGCGATAAATATTTATCTGACGACCGATAGGGCGTCCACAGAAAACCCATAAACGAAGACCAGCGACCCGGTTTTCATTTTTGTCATACACACCCGTTACACAATACAGATTGCTCACACGGACGAACAACAAAACCGCGCAAACCAACGCAGTAATTTTCCATTGCCTTCAACAGTCCATTAAGCCGTCGAAATGCAAGTTGTTTCGCAAGTCAGTGTCAGTATACCACTCGAAGATAAAGAGACAATTGGCATGGTGTATGGAAAATAGTAATATTTATACTAACAAAACAAATGTGTATAATACACTTATATAACTAAAACGAGTTAACACAACTAAATGTTGGGTCAAGATGCTAATGAAATGTACATTTTTGTTTGCTGTTCATCGCAAATCTAAATTTTCGGAAGGTAATGCTTGAAGAATATGCTGGTAAACCTAGCGGTTTTTAAATTCTACCCGGCAAATCCCATCGCATATTATTAGATAAGAACATAATACGTTGAATATTGTTATGCTTAATTTATAAAAGTTGTACGGTCTCTTTTTTATTCCACGTGGTCCGACCGGCCCCCGTATAATTTAAAACGTATTGTAATACATTATAAATACTAAGCCCGGTAACTCGATTTCTGAGAAAACGCAGTAGATTACAAGTGCGCATTTCATTGCCACCATCTGCGGTCGGAGTCGTCAGTGTTTATCCGTTCTCCTTACATACATAATATACACAACACAATAATACGTGTTGTAAAAAAAATGGATAAAAGCGTACGCTGGCTCTTTTCTAACCTTTAAGGTTATCGTTTCTCTTCACAAATCGACAAGGAAAAATACCGTTATTATACCGTTACTCCAATAAAATAGCAATTGGATTAAAAACAAATTCGGTTTGTGTTTGGATAGTATAAATTATCATCTTTGTTGCAAACGCCCAATATATTAGAGGGAAAGTGCGATAAACAAATATAGGGCATTTGTAAATTCAATTTTTTTTCATAATAATTATTATGATTATTATGAATATTATAATTATTATTAATTACAACCAACCATTTTTTCTGTGTGTATTTTTTTAATCGTGTGAAAGATTAATATTAATATTTATACAATTAAAACTACATATTGTACATATTAATAAACATTACATTTACATTTGCACCATTTGTTTAAAAATATCCCACTAGAACCTGCTCCATATGCACAGCATAAAAAAAATTGTTCAGCTGTGATTAAAATACACTTAATTTATTTTATTATGATAACATTTATTTCTGATTTTAAAATTAACTTCGAATAATTTCAACTATAGATTATTTTACTTTTCAAATATATGTAAGAGAGAAATGGATGGAAGTTTGTTTTGCAGCGATGGGCCTCAATGGCCTTTAAAGCTGTTTGAAGAAGAAGAAGAATTTACGCACAAATTGACTTATAATATCCTAGGCTGCTTGTAGTTAAACACAACCTTAAGAGTTGAAAATTAACAGTTATTATTATTTAAAAGTATACATAAAAGAGAAAATGAAAGCTAGTGATGCATTTGTATGCATATAATATTATTATGTATTATGTAAATAGTAACAACAATGGTTCATATCAAAAGGCCGGAACGCGCGAAAAAAACGCATTAAACAATTTATAACTGTTTAATTTGTCTTTTAGCGGAAAGGTGCAACAAAATGATTCCGACAAACAACACTGGACAGTGGACACCAATACACTTAACCGTCCTGACTAGTATATGTAATATACGCGAGCGCGAACATATTTGTGTGAACTATTACACGCCAAAACGATTTTTAACCAATTAACTATTCATTCATTATTATACAGGTAAATGTGCTCGACGTTGTCGTGACTGCTAGTCAGAAACTCAGAATGAGTCAATCACTGCTACTCAAGGTTATCTCTTTCTTCCACAAATATAAATATTATTAATAATAATAAATTAACAATTATCGTAAGCATATATTAACACTGCGCTCTTCGTTGTCTTTTTTTCTTTAAGTTTTTACGGTAACTGTACTAAAGAGTTTAATTTCTTAATGTTTTTCCTCGTTGAAACGAAATGTTTGCATCGAAACAACGGGGAAACAAAAAATGTATAACTGGTTTTGTACAATTTTACAATATCGAATCATGATAGTCAATGAATTATCATTGACGATAATGAATTTAATATAAATATTTTACCAATGTACGCAAAATAACAAAACATAACATACCTACACTTTTTAATTTAATAATTAACTTTTTGGTTATGATCACTTCATTATGCCGAGTGAAGTAATGTTATTTTATAACATCGACTTAGAAATATATTACGCATGTAAATAGTATATATGATTTGAATTTATTAACCTTGTTCGTGGTCGTATTAAATTAAACGCTTAATGATAACAGTCGAAACGTCGTATGCGAACACATTTTGTGTAGAAAAAGTAAAAATAGTAAAAAAAAAGTGAAATTTTTTGATCTCATAATAATATTTTATTTTTCCCGTTATAAATCTGAGTACGAACTACGATGATGAATTTTAACGGTTATAATATGTACATGTTCGTAAATATTCAGTATGTTTGTTTTCTAGCACAAAAATTGCGGTGTTATGTAATAAATTAATTGTATCGTAACACGGTGTTCAAAACTGTCATTTATTGTTTTAATTGCTGTATCCACACGTGTACACATTTGAACTTGTAAATATATGTAATAATAGTTCATCGATACGCGCGTTGACGACATAATATAACCGTAACGTCAAATTGATATAATAACCGTGGGCTCTTGGCGGTCCTTGAAATCATAAATTACACGGCCTTCTATGGAGGTCAATAACGAACGAATAGGCGGTGTATTATAACAATTATTATATAATTAATTTCAAGTTGACATTAATATTCCAAAGTGAAAACAACGCAGACGTTCAATGTTCATATTTGATATTCTCATATGTGGGTAAAAAATCGAAAACGAATGCTTTGGTGTCTAACGGCAACAAAAATGTGCATAGTCATTCATCACATAGATTATATTATTATAGTAACAAATAATAAAACATTACGCTGGGTCGGGTGCAGCAATCGCAAGAAGTGTGACGAAATAAAAAAAAATGATTCGGCAAACGAAAGGGAAAGCAAATTTAACGAAAGTGTTGGAAGCCATCTTTTCATCTACCCACTCAAAGGCAATAATAATATGCAGATAAATAAATGCACCATAAATTATAGTGATTTTTTTTTATCTCGAACTAACATTGAAATGGTAAAATAGTGATGAAAACATTTAAAAAACGGAATACCACCATCCACCAATAAGCTGCTTAGTAGGGTTCCAAAATAAAATATGGCGTTTCATTTCATGATAATCTGAAGCAAACTTGTTAATGTTTTAAAAGACACGAGCTTCGTTATAACAATTAAAATAACAACATTTTAAAGCCGAAGTACGAACTAGTGTTTTTGTTTTTAATTTATCGACAATTATTACTTTTTATTGACGATGGATATTAT